GATCACTCTGGACCCTGCGGGGGCATGCAAGTCAGCTGGAAAACCAGCCCAGTGATTGGATCTCACATGTCATATGTATCAGGCAACTGCGATCTAAAGTAGGCAAGTTTGCATCTGTCCGCTGCTTGCAAATCATCGCCTCCCCTCCCCGCCGCATGCCTTACATTGGAATTTAAAAGCCGGACCAAGTAACTCTACCAGCAGCCGCAAGGACGGCCTTCATTGCGACCAAACCCATGGAGTCGCATCGATGCGTGCCTTTGGGCAAGGCTGCAGCTTCATGCTCCAAGCAGACTCAGACAGGCTTGAAACTCTCAAAGTCTCATCAGGTCCCTGCTGGGTTTGCAAGCTGTCGCTGAAACTGAAGATGACCAGGAGCAGGATGATGATGACGATGAGCGTCATGATGCAATGAGAACATGACGAACTAAGATGAAAACAGCAAGATCCTGAAGGAACTAAATGACTTCAGTTGCGCTGAGGCAGCACAGCTGACATGCAAGGATACCCTAATGGCGCCAGACAAGGCCAGAATCCTTCTCTTGTACGTTTGGATTATTACTATTCTAGTACTTTTGTCATTATTACTATTTTTCTGCCAGTACTTCTATTTTATTATTACTATTATTTGGCCTCCTTTCACGCTTCGGGCCTCCTGTTTCCTTATGCGTGTCCCAAGTCAGGCATCCACCGAGTCCACCTGCACAAGACACTGATGGGGTTTCCCCAAATGACGTTTACGGTTCCGGGTACTTCGTACCTTTTCGCGGGGTCTCCGTAATAAGGACTCTAGTATTTTGGGGCCTATATTCGGGGGCAAAACTACCATATACAAGCAAGTCCAATGACAGGCAAGTCCACCAGAACCTCAGCTCTCGTTCGGAGGAGGACAACTCTAGACCACACACGCTTCCAAAGCTGGCTTCACGAAGATCAATCAAACACAACCCATCCCGAAATTGGAACAACCCCCTCCCCCTGCTGCATCTTGAGCCCCAGCCCCACTCCCAAACTCCAGCAAACTGCAGCACCTAGCGAGATTGGACCACAGCTGGTCGGACATGGTCGCGTGAGCGGTGAGGAAGACTCCGCCACAAACATCACCTCTCACCTCTAGCAGACGACAGCCCCATCCTGAAGATCGATTCCCAGCATCTGAGTACTAAAGGCAGAAGAAATTCCAGGACATGATTTGGAAGAAAAGATGCAATTGCCTCGAGATCGAAGGCTGGCACTGCAATCCACAGAAGGCAGCCTTAGAAAAGGAAAAAGAGGAGAGGCGGTCCTGTTCACTGGCTCAATGAATGAGCTGGAGTCTCAAATGGCTTGCTCTTTGGTCCGCATTCAAGGCCCTTGATCATCCTGTACAAGCAACTGTACACTGCACAAATACACACAAGCGCCTTATTCTGAGGTCAATTTTGTAAGACCCTTTGGCACAAAAATGCGATAAGTGAACCATGAGCGGACCACCAAACTTGTCTGCAAACTTGCGCGAAGGCCTCTCTATCTCTCTGATCGCTGTTTCCAACTTCACCCCAAAGCAAATCGAGGGCCTCGGTGATAGCTTTTTGCTTGGGACCTTCGTGCACAACGGAGCAGCCATGCACCAACAGCCTGACAGTTCATCGGCTCCACATGAATACTCTGAAAGAAGCCCTGCCACGTCTGGATTGTGCTGAAACGACGGCAAGCATTCTGCAGCGAGGACACACTGGATTGCAGTGGCAAGCCTTTGGTGCGTTCATAGCGTTCCAGCAAGCAACTGGCTCGTCGACAAGCGTCGCCTCCATGCTCATGATGCTCGTGCGGGATGTGAGCCACGTGATGGAGAAACCAGCAGTGGAACATCAACAGCTGACGAGAAACTCTGCTTGTCTCCCAAGTCTTCTCAATCCTCTCGTCAACTGGCGAAAGAAGGTGAGCCATTTGCGGATATGCCTTCACCAGCCAAAGAACCCCTCGGTCAAAAGTCTCTTCCAGGATTGGTATGGCCAGCTCGTCCCAGGTGAACTCATCCGAAACAGAAAGCAAGCACATGAACTCTCCCAAATTTGGCACTACGTCCTTGTGCCTCGTCTGTTCGTCATCCATGAAATTGCGCAGCTTGAGCTCCATAGCATTGCTGAAGCTGGTGCAGCGGGCCTTGAGCATAAGCAATATGTGGTGAAAGGCCATGTAGCCTGCAATCGCCTTCTGAGAAGTGTGCAGATCACCTTTCATCAACAGCACAATCTGCGAGTTCATCAGCTTGGGCAACACGTCCATGGCGGCAGCCTGATCCAACGGCAGAGCCACTGAGGGATTTACGAGGGCCTTGGCTTTGGCCTTGGCTGCCTTGGTCTTGGCAGCAGCCTTAGCTTCTGCAACTCGTCTTCTCCACTCCTCCAGGCTCAGGCCTTGCTGTAGCGCCTCAGTTTTCTCCATCTCCAAGATCCGCTCTCGCTCCTCTCGGCGCCGCCTCTGCGCTTCAAAGAGCGCTTGTCTCTGCGCCTGCCACTCTCCAAAGGTCATTGCACCGGTCGCACCGGCTGCCTCAATGCGTGACCCCTGGATGCACATGCCCTGCGGGCCACCAGATCCCAAGCCATGGGACTTAGTCATCTCGGCCACATGTCCTGAGCCAAGCAGGGAGACGGCCTCCAGCAGCCGTGCCAAGGCACGCTCAAAGTGAGCCTTGCAGATGGCCATGGGAATCCAGTAGCTGATTCTTTGCTTCCACACTCCTTTGTCCACCCGAAGATCAAAGAAGGCCTCCTCAGACAAAGGGTCAAAGTCACAGGTCAGATGACGCTTGCCACCACTTTCCTCCATAATAGCAACCCCCAGTCCAAGCACGGCATCTCCGTAATCAAAGGTTGTCTTGGTGTGAAAGCAGCGCAGCTGAGACCGGTCGAAACAGATGGAGATCGCTTCTTCTGCAGGTCCCCTCCAAGCCCTGCAGCTCCGAGCAATCGACCTCAAGGCTTCCCAAGGCAAGAGTTGCAATAGGACTTCCATCGCAGGACCAGGAAGGTCTCTGCACAAATGAGCATGGAGTAGCGGCAAGGGCTGGCTTCTGCACGGGGATGGGCAGAAGTAAGGACCCCCCCTCATCGTGAGCCGCAGCCCTCGCGGACTGTTCGCCTCCAAGACTCGAACCGACACAAGTTGTTTGACCTGAAAATCTTTGTTTTGCACATCCATCTCGGACAAATGGACCAGACCTGGAGCCGGGCCGCCAATATTCACAAAAACACCATAGCTCTGGATGGAGACGATGAGCCCAGGAATTTCTGACCGCGACTCTTGCAGTGCTTCCAGCTGCTTGCGGGACCGCTTCGGCAGGATCTCCAAGCAAAGCCACTCAGTCTGGACCGCGGTCACGCAGGCGAGGACTTCCTGCCGCAAAGCCACCGGACACCGGCGGTCTGCGACCAGCCAACCCTGCTTGCAAGAACCTGAGATCTGCAGCACAAAGCCGCCGTAGCTGTTGGCACCGTTGGCGTCTTCTTTCACCACTCCCCGAACCACGTCCCCGACCTTTAGAGCCTGGAGAGTCGGCGGCCCACAAACGTCTTTTGCCTCAGAAACTTTGTTGGCTTCAACATCCTCAACTGCACAAGCGATCTTTTGCAGGCTGCTGGGCATGCTCTCCATGACAGCCAATGCTGGTGGCACATTTGCAAGCACCGGGTGTGGTGTCGAGAAGCAGTGGCCACATTCCTCACAACGAAATCTCTCGCACTCAGCACGCACCTGTGCCGCCAGCTTCGGTGTCATGCTGGACTTGTATGTCCCACCGTGATCCTGTGGTACATGCTCTGTCTCGAAGAGGAAGGACGCCAACTGTAGCAGCACTGTTTGAACTGTGTAGGCTGTGCTCCATCCACTTCGCTCGTCATGTGACCCAATGAAACTCTGCAAGATGTCCAGGCAAATCATGGTCCCAAAGAGATTCGGATGCCGAAATGAGGGTATGTGCTGGGCTGGAAATCGGATGCAAGGGGGGCTGAACGGATAGTCCCTCGGCAGGTCCATCACCAAATGGAAAATACAACCCGTCAATGGACCGTCTGCAGGTCTAAGGTTCACATGCCAGCGAAAGGGATCATTGAGATCCAAAGGCTTCGCTGAGACCAGCTGCAAAGGCTCCGCCTCCAACTCCTTCAGATCCTTGGCGATGCGACGCAGGGCAGCCGCATGCCGCGATGCTTTCAAACTGCTCGCACTGCTCGCAGTGCTCATGCTGAGCGGCGACAATGCGCAGGCTTGAGAACGTGTGGGCACCGGCAACTCCAAGCAAAGATCATCTCCACATTCTACAAGCAAACCACAAACTCCCTGAAGGGTCTTAGAAACCACACAATGTCTGCCACAGTGAAATGGGCGTTGTGGGTAAGGCTTTGAGACGAAGCAAACCGTATGGAAAGCTCTAGGGCTCAGAAGCTGTGCAACTTCAGCGTTCAACAAGAACCTCCTAGCACGGCTCCACGTTCATTTGAGAGGTGGGCTGAAACCCGGAGAGAGCGAGCGTCATGACCTGCCGAAAACGTTGCAAAACTAGCAGGCACTATGTCCACAGTGGTGCAGGCTTCAGTCGTCCTCTGCATTTACATTCATTTACAGACACAATTCCTGCAGGTCTTGGCTCCAGACGCACGTACCTGCGTCGCTCTTTGTATGCAAGTTCGTGGTTTGCCTCAGCACGGCGTCACAACAACTCACTGAACCTTGAAGCTGGCACTCAGAATCATCCACCTCATCTTGATCCATGCCATGTCATGCTGCACAGTTTTCACTTCCACTCCTGACAATGCTGCGGGCTTGCATGCTGTGGAAACACCATGCCCATCCGCAACCCGACGACACCGACGAAGACCCTGAAGGGCAGCCAGATTGTCAGCACCACGATGATGACCGCCACTCCAGTTTGTGCTGCTCGTGCGGGGCACCGCTATGCTTGTGTTCTCTGCGCGCCGTTGGCACCCGGGTAGTACATGGCAGGACCGCCATCAACATCAGGAGCGAGCCTTCTCAAAGAGCCAATCCTCTATGACCACGTAGTCAAGACCAGGGAGCTCATCTAGCATTTGAAGACACTCACTGACAGTGTTGACTATGGGCTTGCCCTTGGTGTTGAAGCTGGTATTGATCAGAGCTGCCAAGCCCGTATGCTTGCCTACAGCTAGAAGTAGAGCATGAACCCAAGGCTCGTCAGCTTTGCTGACCGATTGGTGCCTGGCAGTACCATCAAAGTGCGCCAGTGCTGGGAACTTCTCCTGTGTGTCCCTCCGGACCTGAGGTGCCATGCTCATAAAAGGTGAAAGGACTCGACGACCGAAGACCTCTACCAGGGCCTCCTCTGCAATCATCGGGGCCACAGGACGGTACCACTGCCGGGCTTTGAGACGGTTCATTCGATCCTTCATCGTGGCGTCTGGTACGGCCAGTAAGGACCGGTGGCCCAGAGCACGAGGCCCAAACTCCTGGCGGCCGCGCACCACTGCGAGGATGGGCCGATCCGCATGGCGGCCATGCCTGTCCCGCCACTCGCCCTCTCCAGCCAACAGCTTAGCCAAAAAGTCCACGCCGCCAAGCTCTGACAATCGCCTCGCCCCGCGCTTCAACGCTTGGCCCTCGAGCGACTCCTCATCCCAAAGCCGGAAGCCAAGGTACTGGAGGTTTTGCCGAGCCGGCGGAGGGGTCACGGACCAGAGCCCCCCAATCGACAGGCCACCATCGTTAGGCGACGGCGGCACCCAGACGTCCACACCTGGGCGGTCTTCATCATTCCCGGCTTGCAAAGTGTCGTGCACCAGCTGATTCGCCAGCACGTTAAGAGCACAACCCCCTGTCAAGACCACACCATCCAGATTCTGGTGCCCCACACGCTGGACCAGTTCGGTCACTGTGAGGTTTGTGATGCGCTCAAACTCAGCCTGCACCGATGCGGCGAAGTTACGCTGCCCTTCCTCCGAAGTGCAAACTTGCTGCAGCGCCTCTTGAAACCTTTGAGGTAGCCCTGTTGTGGGGGGTACCACACTCATAATATGTTCCATGGAGAACTTGGGCATGGCTCCTGAGACTTCAAAGGCCTCTCGCGCAACCTCTTGCAGGTCTTCAGTTGGAGTTCCCGCGGCAGCATAGCCCATGAGCTTCCCTGCCCAGCTGAGACAAGGCAAATGCAAATCGCCCGCCAAGAATTCGGGGTACAGAGGTCCTGAATCCGCCCTGCCAGTGTAAGCACAGCGGGCCTCCAAAGGCTGACCCGTGACCTCTGGAAGTAACCCGGCCAAAAGCATGTACATGGTGCCAAAGCCATAGTCCAGAGAGGCAATGCGCCTCATTCCTCCTAAAGAGGCATGAAATACATGAAAAGCTGCGTCGCTCACTACAACAAGAGCCGTCCGCATCGGTGACGCATAGTAAGCCATCCAGGCATGCGACTCCTGTTTGGCTCCGGGCTCATTCTAGCATGCCTACAGCGCTTTCTTGGAAATTGAAGCTGAGGAGGGCAATTGCTCCCGTTGCTACTTTGTGCTTAAAGCGTGACACTGGCGCTCAGTTCTGGAAGACTATGCTAGCAAAAAGACATTAAAGGACAATGTTCAAGGTTCGAAGGAAAATGCCCAATGCCATACTTGCCCCAAACGCTTACATAGATTCATGCATTCTGCAGGGCAACAATCACAAACAACACGATAAAAGGAGCTGTTTGCTTCGGGGAGGGTTTGGCCGACCAGTGCACATAGATTTTGGGCAGCTTTTCTGAAGGTTTGCATCTCGTGATGGGAAGCTAAGTGCAAGTTGCATGTGTAACCATGTGCAATGAACAAGACCTGTCACAACAGGCAAAGGAATCCCAAGGGGTAGGTCCTGATGATCGACGTATCGCCACTCGTCAACTGGGAAGACCTCTTCGATAATGTTTGATTCTGCTTCCGAGCTCGGTCGAACCAGGATGCCAGTGTCAAAGCGGCGCGGACAAGGCCCTCCCTCACACTCGCAGCGGTCTCGCATGGTGTGCGCTGCGCGGAGCCATTCTTGCCGCCGTTCCGTCGCGTTCTGCGATGGCACGAAGTATCGTACTCCAAAGAGACGCTCCAGCTCAAGGACGCATTGCACTCGCCCATCAATGCTGATGGCAATGTTTGCCTCATGGCTGTTGTAGAGGGCGATCTGAGTTCCTTTGCTTGGTGGGAGGACCTGCTTTACCGACGCACCGTTCTTCGGAGGCAGCGTGCCAACATCTGCCCGCCTGCCCGCCAACTGGGCTCGCACTTGGCGCAGGACAAGTTCCATCTCATTTCTGTATGGCTCTCCAGAGCGGTGCGACTCCAAGAACTCACTGATCTTGACGGCAATGTCCTCTCGCTGCACATCCCATCTGAGCTCCTTGTTCTCACCGTCCAGTTGTACGGTCACGGCTGGAATGTTTGGGTTTCCGGCGGCAAGTAAAGAAATCCCAAGCACGCAAGCTACAACTCGTAAGAACGAACTAGGTCGCCGCTTGCAAAGACGTGCTGCCATTGCTGCCGTTTGCGCGCTGGATGGTGGTCTGCTTCACACTTAATGTCCTAAGTATCCTTCACTCATGATATTACACTTCATGACAAGCTAGTCTTGCACGGTGAAAGCGCTGTACATCTATGCAGTCAGCATATGGTGCTTTCAAGCCCGTGGCCGAAGCCCACCACAAGCTACCCTGCCTTGCAAGCAACTTAGGCCCTCAACATCCCAAATGCCTGGGTGCAATACACCTGACTGGCCACTGCTGTACAACTTAGGCCGGAACTGCTATTCAGGGCCCCCTGACAAGCACAAACAAACTGAAACGCATGATACGCATGATGTAGCTGCAGCACACAGCATCAAGCCTGAAATCATGGCTTTGCCACTTTGTTTTCCTTTGCCATGCTCTGCCTGGAAAGGCAAAGGGGGATGGTTGGCTTAGCTGGAAGAAACTATCGCAGCAGCACGGGAAACCAACAAACTGTGCCTACTCAAGGAATACCAGAAGAGCTCGATATGCAATGTGGCAGTTACCTCTTGTCAAGTATCCGGCAATACTCGAAAGGAAGTCCGCGGAGCATCTCGGCAGCGATGTCGAGACCTTGCAAAACGCCGGCCAACAAAACTGAGCACACGCAGTCCTACACCTTTGCATCTGCATGCACGCAGCAGCCGTGCCTCCACCTCAGAATCTCTTTCCTTGCGCGCGCACACTCAATCCAAAACCCATAAAGGACTCCCTTCCCCTTGCTGGTGTCCTCAACCATGGACACGTCCGCGCATGGCCGTGCAAGGCGCCGAACACTACTCTCCCACAGCAGAGTGAGCAGCAGAAACCAGAAACATTGCCACCGATTTGAAATATTATTACTGCAGTTACACTTTGGTTGAGCACTATGTCTGTGAGGAAGCGCCGTTTCGGGCAACAAACCAAAGCAAGGGATGACACCTTCTCGGAAACAAAATGCCGATCTTCCCTGCTCCAGCCCTGAATAACCGCTTTCGTGCGCAACGCAAACTCCACATCAACTTGACTGCATGACAAACGTTGCAATCTGGGTGTCACTCGCGGCTTTTTGTTTCAACAGATCAGGGATTACGAGTTCATAATGTTGCATTGGCGATCCTGCGCCTCATGTATTCTAAGCAGCTGGAAAGCGTTGCTTCGACGGCCTGTCGAGTTTTATGGTCTGCAGACCGCTGTGCCGCTAGGCTCAAGGCTCAGCGACGCGCAGGAGTACCTCAGGTTGAGTGCTGTCACGAAGTATTGTTTTCCAACGGTGGCTGCCTGTCCACGTCCAGCGACAAGATTTGTACGAACACGTTTCCGCATGTTTCCACACAGAATTGCGGACCTTGCATCCACACCCACCGTCGACTGCGGCATTCGCGAACCCATCTGCCCAGCATTGGCCACACACCATCGCGCACCTCTTGTCGTGATAGACTCCGGTATTCCCTTGCTGTCCGTCCGTGTCCTGCCACCACATGAACCAGCACAAACCCAGCAGCACTGCAGGCCCGGATGGAACTGGACCCAACTTCGATACCAGAATTGCACACAATCTCGGACATCGCGCCACACCCAAAGGCATTCCCTTGCTGCCCATCCGCGGTCTGCCACCAGATGTGCACAACCCACCAGGGATGGACGGAATACCCAGGAGGGGCTGCCATGTAGAATCATGGACCATGTCGGTTTGCGGGACTACCCATACTCGCGCTGGGGCACATTGTGAGGCCCCGGCACTTACACGGCCTTGCAAGGCAAACACGTATAACACCCAGCCGGCTGATTCGCAGCCTGCCTCCCCAAGCAGAAGAACCACCAGCGCCGATCCTGCGACAGCCGAGCAAATGACTCAAAGGCAACGCGATACCCATGGTCCCAGCAGCCTCATGAGCCTTCGCTGAACGAATGCTGTGCACCTGGCATCGGACATCTGGCAACATTTTGAAAACCATGAGACCCCAACCGCAACAACTCATTGCCGAAGCATGCATCAGTACCTCCGCATCGTGCTCAGCCTGCATCGTCGCCAAAGCCGTCTTGAACATGCATGTCAAAGCAAATCATGGGCAGAAACGCGAGAAACCGAAAGATCCGGCCTGCTCGGATAGCTGCAGGGCAGGCTTCTTGTGCTCCAGCAACTGAGCATACCCGCATGTCAAGCACTGTTTGCACCGAAGCCAACATAAACATGCCTCAAGTGCAGCATGAAAGTCATCTTGGGCACGCTTCAGCTCCTCAGCAACATTGAATTACGTTCAGGGGCGTGCAGAATGCCCCCACGTGCTCGGAGCTGGACTTTTGTGTGTCCTGGAGACAAACCTAGCCGCACACGCCAACACATGTCTGCACAGGTCTCGACAAGGCCCTGCAGCAGCCTCGCCTCAAAACGCTGATATGGCGGCGGACCTCATCATGGGCGGGGCACACGAACCTCCTTCTGCCGTGCAACATCTTACCGACGTGTTCCTCGTTGATGGACGGGACTAGACTGCGTCAATCCGCAAAATGCACCAGAAAAAAACTCTACCACAGCAAGTTCATCTTCATCACCATCTAAGGGCTGGGTTCATCAAGCCTAGAGATGGGCGCGCGTGGGCTGAGCAGGATTTCATGCTTTTAATTCAAAATTCATTCTCGGTTTGTTTATGAATTGGCTTATGATTAATTTTATGGCCCCAAAAATGTTTATGATTTGTTTTGTGATTAAATTTATGGTTCCAAAAAAGTGTATGAATCGGTTTATGACTGATTTTTCTGGTCCCAGAAATGTACAAATCAATCATAAAAAACCATACGTAAACCATAAAAAATATACAAATTCGAAATTTTTCATTGTTTGCCAGCCTTCCCCAAGCCCCCCCAGCCCCCCACCCCCTCCTGTGGGCTACAGCTATTAAAAAAAATGAAAACACAAATTTGATGTTTTTCATTGTTTTCCAGTTTCCCGGCTTTCCCCAACCCTACCCCCTCGCGTGGGCTGGGGTGGGGTTGGTGGAAGACCATTTAAAAAATCATAAGCAAACCATACAAGCCATAAAAACTCGAAGTTTTTGATTGTTTTCCAGTTGTCCAGCCCTGCCCAGCACCCCACCCCCTTTCGTGGCTAAAACTGTAAAAAACCCTAAATGGAATCATAAATCTATTCTGAGCCATACACTAAATCAAAGTGGGAACGATACATTAATGTTGGCTGACCGGTGGGTCACCAGCCAAGCTCGCATGTCTCTAATCAAGCCGACAACAGAAAGGCGGATCAACCTACTTGCGCTGTTTTCGGAGGTCGGGTCAAGAACCTTTGGGATCCGTGAGGTGACACATCACAGAACTCAAGTTGCACTGCGCAAGTCTAGCCGGCAGCTCGAGTCGCTTTTTTCACTAGGAGCCAACCGTGTGCAGCTGCAGAATACCATTTTCCACTTCTACGAGTGTCAACCCCAGGGCATTGCAAGGGCATTGCATCTATCTCCAACTGCTGCGAGCTGAGCACGAAACGCACTATCATGCGCTATCATTGAGACTCGGAAGCCACGGCTTCTGGTCATTGGCCTTGAGTATTTTGTTCTTCCCACCTGGCTGCAACTGTGGCCGAAACATCCCAGTCGTAGGAGCCCCTTTGTCACCGCGGTCGGCTTTGCGATGAAGTCAGCCTTCTCTGGCCGTTCGCATCACCAGCCAGTTGCGAGACCTATTTTTTTCTGAACGACAATCTTGCGCAGAGCCACTGCGGCCATAGCCGGTACCCAGATGCCAGACAGGTTGGCTGGGTCATGATCTGTCCTTCTGACCGCGAGCGAGATAAGATTGAGGATCAAGCGCTGCATCAGCAAAGGAGCATGCTCAAACCAGACATTGCTCAAGCACAGCAGATATCTAAAGCCTCATGCATTTGTGGTTGCAAATGTGACTGCGTATAAGAAGCAAAAGCCAGTCACAACACTGCAGGGCAGGGCCCACATGTCCTACCGTGGCAGGGCGCTTGTTGTGCACTTGTGAGGCTGCCCCCTAGCAAAACATGATTATTGAAACTTTGCTGCAGCGCTCACTGTCTAGGCTGTTGTCGCTGAGGTGGAGCGCAAGCAGCGGGTCTTCGGTCAGGGAAAACGCACGAATGGACGAGGCAGCGTTGCACAATTGCACGTGGAACCCAAAACGTGCCTTGGGGGCGATGAAGGCTTGTGAAGTGGCACGATTCTTGCAAATCTCCAAGGCCTACCAGGTATAGCACTGTCTGTAAAAGCACCACCCCACCCCTGCATGTTCGGCAAGTGTCGGCAAGCCTTCTCCACATGTTGCGTACAGGAACAGTTCTGAGGCACGAGCGGGCAAACTTCAAGATCTCCACTTAGGTGCCTGGATGCCGGGAAAAGCGTCATGGCAGAGTGGGCCATCAAGCTGAATCTTCATAGACGATCCTTACTTTTGACCACTGGTGCCTGCCAGACGATATCATGGGACATGCGCATAGGGACTCTCGTCAGGAGAACTTATTATCCCCGCAGGCCTACATCCGGCCTGACAGAAAATGCGCACAACGCTCCGTCGAGCTTTTGCCTGGCTGCACCTGTGTGTCTTGCAGAGCGGGCCACCGGAGGAATGATAACAATGTGGCTGAGATGATCATGGGCGACTGTTAACAGGCGTGCACCTTGCAGGTGCACTCTTGCCGCCTTTGTGCACAGAGCAGGCCACGAAAAACGCTGCAGCCTACAGCCCAAAAGCTAGCAGCGTTGCGGCAGCCAGCAGGGCTGAACACTGCGTGCAGCGGGCCCAACGTTGCGGTACAAATGTTTTCTGTTGATGCCCAGGTTTGGGCAAGCGGCTCCCCACCCTCTGGAACGGATCAAAAAAACATTTTTTCAGCATCAAAAAAACATACGCCCAGCGCAAAAAAAATGTTCAAGAAGTAGAAAAATCTTTGCACTAAATTTAACAGCGGCCAGCACAAAGGGCAAGCACCCAAAAAACAACTTATTTTGGAGTAGTACTAGTAGTAGTAGTAATAATAATAATAAGAATAATACAAGAAGTTAAAAATTAGTAATAAGTAATAGTAATAGTAATTAGTAATCGTACTAGTAATAAGAATAATAATAGTAGGAGTAGTAATAGTCGTGATAGTAGTAGTAGTAGTAGTAGTAGTAAGCACCACGGCTCAAAATCTGCCCCCTAGCTGGGCTGCACCTAGATTGATGCAATGGATGTGGAGATGTTGCCTTCACACAGTTCTACTGATAGCAACATGCGAAAAGGGACAAAGAGAAAGCGAAGCAGTGCGAGCAACGACACAGACAGCATGCAGCAGGGTCGAAAGCGTGAAACCAAGCATTGTGTTCGGGAGTGTAGATGGCCTTGCCATCCCCTGGTGGCAGCAACGGCAGCCCAAACCAACCTGGAAGTTCTCGCGTTACAACTTGGCCTGCACGGAGTCAGCATTGAAGAGGTCCGGGAACTGGGCTTGTGGATTTATCTCAAAACCAATGAGGTTCGTGATCCAACAGCCTGCTGTGAGGCCAGGACCGTCCTGGAAACAAAGCTGGGGGACGCGGACATGTACCAGCATCTGTCGTTCTTCAGAAAAGTGCTTCCCGACACTGCTCTGTCGGATATGCACACCATGCTACACCACCACGTGTTCGCAAAAACACACGCGAAAAGGAGCGCAGAAACACAGAACAACGGACCAGCCGGAACAAGCCAGACACAACAGCATGTCAGCACTGAAAGCTTGCTGGAAATGTGCGCGGAATTCCTGGAAAGGTATGCGCAGAGAACATGCAGAGTGGTTGAGAGACGCATGCGCTGCATACAGCCTAAGCAAGAACTTCAGGAGGCAGCAGGCACGGAGAGCTATCCGTATGTCATATACAAAAACCTGTGGCACAATGAACAAGGCGCCTGGAGTCAGTTTCTTCATGAAAAGGATTTGGAGGATATGTGGTTGCCTATGTAGACTGCTTCCATGGCAACACACGCATGTCCTTGTGCTTCAGCTGCAGCCGCTGCTTGATACTTTTGCGCCACAGGGATGCCAGCTTGGCCCCTACCTGCATAACAGCGCTGAACGTGCTTGCTTGCATATCTGGCTGCAGCCCATGTCTACAGTGCCCTGTGCTTGGCACACACCGTCATGCCCGCTAAACCGACTGAGGAAACAGGACCTCAAGTCAGTAGCGAGGATGTTGTCGCCCGCATTGGAGAGACGATCCGCAATCACCTTGCACAGGCAACCGAGGCAGAGAGGCAAAGATGCGTTGAACAACTTGCAGAATGGTGTTCTGAAAGGGAGAGGGATAGAAGGGAGGAGCACCTATCCAGCGTTGCCCGTGGCATACCGACCCCTTCCACACACACCCCGCTCTATGCTGGAACACCGCCAAGAGCTGTATCAACGCGCGACACCGCCGAAGCCGACACCATCGCAACTGCTCACTCGGACCGAACCGAACAAGGATACGAGACACCACCACGGACCACCAAAGCAAGCACGCCGTCGCCTCCCAAAAGAAGACGCAAAGCAAAAGGGCGTGCGCAGGAGCAAGGAGAGCATAACGAAGCAACAGCTACGGAGGTGGCCGAATCTGAGCTTGGTTTGCTTGATCGCATGGATTGAGGGTAGCTGCGCCCGCCACTCAATACGAGATGCGGACATCTCTCAGTGCCACGGCCTCAGCCCG